ACGTGGCGGTGTCGTCTCCTGCGGCCTTGCAAGGAGAAGGTTCAGGTAACGCCGCTGGGTTCATCTTCGGCCTCTTGGCCTGTCTCCCGAGGTAGTGCCGGTTGCAGAGGGGCGGGATGCCTGGACACCTCCCGGGCAGACCCTGGGGATCAGCTTTGCAGTGGCTGCCAGGCTGATGTGAGCTGTGGGAGGAGGCGTTACCGATGGCACGCGTTGAGCTGTGACCTGCCAATAATATATATTTTTAAAAAAAAAACCCCAAACCCTTCAGTGTGGCATTGCGTATCCCACTGGTGAATAAGACTCGCTTTGTTGGCTAGCAGACCCATTTTTAGAGCAAGCTGGGGTCTGGGCTTCACCCCTCCCTGTTAATGATGGCCTCCTGGACATGAGGTACTTCGGTCCTTCAAAGTGTGTGACAGTTGGTTGCTCATAGATGAAGGAAAGCTGATTTGTGCTGATGCTTGTCACAATTGCTGTCACCTGTTCCAACCACCACTGGGTACCTTGTGTGCCTCCTATTCACAATTCCAGTCAGCTCTTCCTCACTCCTCTGCCAAGCCCCCTGCGTTTCCCCAGCACTCTCAGCCTCACGCTGGCTGCCGGGCAAGCCTCGAACTCGGGTTATGGCAGGTGAGGGAAACAGTCGGTTCATTTTTAATTCTTATAATTAAGGATCGGGCTGCTTGACTGTTCTGCTAGAAACTCCCTTAAAAGTGGCTTGCTTCGAAAGGAAAAAACCTCCCCTGAGAGGGTCTGCAAGGAGCTGCTGGCTCCTGCCTTTCCCCTGTGGGTCAGAAGCAGGAGATGGGGCGTTGCTACCCCCGGGGCGGGGGGCCGGGCGGCCCTCTGCAGCCCTGCGGCAGGAGGAAGCTGCGTCGCCCTGGTGTTGCCGCTGGGTTGTTTATCATAAGTAAACACGTGAAGCCGTGGGGCTTGTTTATACGTTGGGGTGCCCTTGGACATGAACAGAAAACGCTCGGTTGAATTTATCAGCCGGAGGATAAACACAGCCTCTGGTTTTGGGGGAGAGGGAAACCAAAATAGGCCCCGTGCTTTGGTGCGGAGCACGGTTTTGTGCCTTAATTGAACAGAAATGTGCCTTTATTTCACAGCCTGGGATGACTCTTCAGAAGGCTGGGTAGGGGGGGAAAGGATTTAATTCCTCACACGAGCAGTCAGGCTTATTTAACTGGCCAAAGCCCTTTGAAATGACAGTTCAAGTCCCTGTTAGAGCCTGTTTTTGTAAATTTTTATAAGTCACAGACGTTACTGAGGCCACACCTTGAGACACTGACAAGAGATTTTGAAAATAAAGGGGAGAGCCCGAGACTTGGATTTGGCTTCCCCTCCCTGCTTTGTTTTTAAAGCTGTTGTTTTGTGAAAAACTCCGTTTATGCAAGGAAGAGACTTGAAGCAAGGCCAGCCCGGGACTCCCAGAGGAGCTGTGTTGGGTCACCTCCTTCTGAAGGCCCCATGTACCGACGGACCCGCTTGGCTTCCCGCTTCCGAATGGATTTGTACCCGCGTATTTGGACGAGTTGACTCAAAGCCGTGCACGGAGGCGTCGGCATGGGTCACGCTGACATGCAGCTCTGTGGTCTGCGCGCTTGGAGCTTTGGAGACGAGGGGTGAGGATGCAAAAAGCTGCCGCTGGCTATTACAGATGCAATAGGACACGGTTTATGTTTAGTCTGTGTACCAAAAATGAATGGGTATGGATTAAGCTTGCAAAAAAAACCAACCCAAACCCAAAAAACTCACTAAAAGGAAGACTGTCAACTCCATGGTCCTTGAAGCTGGTGCACCTGTGGTGTCTTTACGGGATTCTTTTGCACTCCTTGGCCTTAAAACGTCTGATTTGGTCTTTTTTTTTTTTTTTTTTTTTTTTTTTTTTT